AGTAGAACTGACTAGTAAACGCTTGAGTATGATAAGAATGTTTATTTTTTCACCCCTGAGGATTAAGATGGAACGTAAAGTACAGGTTCAAGATGGCAACGCAAAAATCTTTATTCCCTATTTTTTCACCTCCAAGAATGGATATTTTTTAATTTCCCCCCCCCCCCCTCCCCCTAAAGAATAATAAAATCGGTCAACCGCTTCCAAGAAATCGGTGAAAATACATAAAAAACAAGTGTGTTGGTATATTACCTTCTCGATTTTTTCGAACTCGATTAGAATGAGTCTCCGGCTTTGTATACTCAATACTTGTAGAAATAAGCCATTGACGTTGGCCATAGCACCCAGTTCCCATACTTCAGTCTATTTATTGAATCATAAATATTACAACGACCTCCGTTTTGATTTTTAAGTTCTTCCAAAAAGCCTGATCTTCGAGCTGTAGTCTTGGTTTTTAATGGCTTATAGTCAATCAGACTTAAAAATTAGTAATAACGTCACATCTCCTCGATCAATCCGAATTTTATATATTTGTACCCAAATTTCTTTTTTTTTAAATAAGGATGACAAACGAGTACACAGTCACCTGATGGGTAAGTGTATGTAGCGGCCCATGGACATACATCTATCCTCGATCAAGAATCAAAATTCAGATACGTTGTCACCCGTGAGGACTAAGGCGGAATACCTAGTTTCCAATAGGAAGGGTCTCCGGTTCTCTACAATCAACAAACTTAACAGCAGTAAGAGATGGTTTCTCTTCCGTCAAGTCGACTCATTCGTGCTACAACAATAGCTGCCACATGGCTCTACCACGAAAGACAGACGGTTTTAAATAAGTTTAGAAGTATAAGAGCTAATTTTGTAAAACAAAAGACGCAAATTCAACGAACTTTCACGGACTAAATAGCATTCATAGAATCTACTTAAGACTCGAAACTTAATACTAAAACACCCTTAATGATTAGAATTTGATTGATGAAATAAATACAAGATTAACTGACCGGGCGCAGACATCGGAGTTAGACAGGATTAAAAGACGATTGCATCTGCAACGCTAAAGTTACCTCTTATACCATGATCATGTTTGTAGTTTTTTTTTTTAAGTGAAACTTCTTTATCTACGTGGTGGATTTATTTAGTACGGTATTTAAAAAAAACGTCACGTTTTCTTGTAACATTTCACCGCCGGGGCTGTTATTTAACCTACTTATGTAAAATATAAAATAAAATAAGAACGATATGTCGCAAATAAGTTTCACTTCGTACGTGTGTACACAATTACACGCACAATTTTTTTCTTTTGTCGTTCTCTACAACGATCCGTTTTATTACATACAAGATGTGTGTAAAAACAGATTGCAGGTTACATACAGGTGATGTAAAATGAAAAAAACTTTAAACTGTTCACAAATAATTGAACTGTATTTTGTTTGAAAAAGGAGTTTCCATGTACTTCATTTTCTGCAAAACGGCTTGTAAGAGAAGACGAAGCGTTTTTAAATAAAGTGACGAAATCCGTAAAATTTGTTTTATTCCATGTGTATATTCGCGTAAATATAAAAATCATTACTTTACAATTAATTGGCCATTGCGAAAGGGCGCAACTATGTTTTGCAGTATTTCGACCCCACACACACACACACTATGAATGTATGTTTGCATGTAAGATTGTAATAAAATTTTATTCATTTTTCAAACACTTCACACTGTGAAATTTCTGAGTATTTGGAGACGTGTTTGGAACCGATGACAATGCAATAATTTCATAACTGTGACCTATAGTATTCCACTAAGACATCACAACACATAATCATTACCAATAGCATATAGTATTGTTTGAGTTATTTTTTTTAATATTATTTATTTTAATAAATAATATTTAAAAAAGAACTTCTTTATCAGCCCATAAAAGTTAACCATTGTGAAGAAGATTTAGAGAACTAATTTTCACCTAAAATTTTATTTTTAATATGGAAACAGAATTAATTTAATTCTAAAAATCTCCTAATGCTTCTTCATGAAGGATTTTTAAGAAATTTATTGCAAAACCTATGGTATGTTGTGCAAAATGTTGTCGTCCCAGTTTATAGAGGATATTATTATGTTTTCCCAGGGTTTTAAATCACTTATACACACGCAATGTTGTTCCGCGTCGCATATTCGCGGCAATGCGAATGAAAAATGATCGCGTAGCTCGAAACGTCGTCGGTGTAATAGGCTGCCGCTTCGCTGAAAAATGATCGAGTAACTCTGTAGAAACACAATTCCTTTATGGGACAGCAGGGATTTTACATGGCAGTATCAGGCATCTCTATATATAAATATCGTGCTGTTCATTAGTCTCGCTAAAACTCAAAAACGGCTCGACCAATTTTGATGAAATTTTTTGTGTATGTTTAAATAGACCCCTAGATAATTTAAATTCACATTTGGCCCCTATAGGTGGCACTGTTATCGAGATCCAGAAACCACCCGTGCGAAGTCAAAGCCAGTTCAAAAGAAATTTGATTCTTATTATGATCGAGGAAAATGAGAAAAATCTGAAGTTTGATGATTTACTTTTATCGCAAATATTCGCTCCAACTGGAATTTGAAACTAGAGCCAACGGCTTAATAGTTACACCCAGTCGGCCATTTAAAAACAGTGGAGTAGATAACGCTAGATCTATAAATATTAGAACCACTAAAGGTCGTGGGTATCGCTGTCACAAGGCAAATATTTGCATATTTATCTGCATGGCCATAAGAGTCATACACGTGGAAATAGTAGGCGATCTTACGACGAAGCGTTTCGGCAGCATTTCGACGGCTTGTTACAAAACGCGGTCACTATAGCGATATCTGGAGTGACAACGGGACTAATTTTTTCGGAGCATCACACGAACTGAAACGACTGTTTGACTCAGAGAAGTCAAACATCGTGGCGGAGACGTTTATCCCCACGCACGCCACAAATTTCAGCAGTCTCTGAGAAGCAGGAGTAAGATCCGTCAAACACCATCTTAAGCGGGTTATTGGGGACTCAACTTTGACTTTCGATGAGATGACGACAGTCTTATGTCAGATTGAGGCATGTCTGAACTCAAAAATCAAACATTTGTTCAACAGCCACTCAAGCCAGGACATTTTCTTGTCGGCGAACAATTGGTATTAGCACCTGATAATAACTACGAATCGTTAAACATAGACCGTCTCAGAAGATGGCAAATGATTCACGCATGGTACAAGATTTTTGGCGGCGTTGGTCACGTAAATATTTAGTTCAATTTTACCAGCGTTACAAATAGCAAAATCAGAATATGGAGCCGAAAATAGGCGATATTGTGTTAGTAATTCAGGATGGCTTGTCACCAGCGAAATGACTATACGGAATGGTAGAGGAGAAACATACTGGATAGAATATAGTAACTCGGGTGGTTACTGTACGATACAAACAAAACAAAGAACGTAAAAACTAAAAAAGAACAGCAAACTATTTACGTTGAGTCCATACGTGGATGAGAAGAAGATCCTGAAAGTACTGGGAAGATTGGAAATCTGTAAGCACACAGCCGAACAAAGGTACTCTCTACTACATATAGGCTGCAACTACATATAGGTGCTTTTTGCATTTTAGTGAAATGCTAAGTAGCATTAATGTTAATTTTAAAAAAAATTACCCATTTAACAAATTACGATACGAGTACGTAAGATGTATCTTGAAGACTATAGCTTAATATTGGATTCATTAAGTTTATTTTCAAGCGTTGTAAAAAAAATGATAAGATCCGAAATTTGTATATTCTCATAAACAACCTAATAAATAATTAATGCGAGCATCATTATTGAAATATTAATAATTATTGCATTAAATTATCTTGAAATAAACTATAAAGGTAAGAAAAACAATAATTTAAGAAAAGTTAAAGTTACACCTATATAGGTTTCACGATGACTACAGACCTCTCATTATTGATAGAGCCTTGTTGTGCTTATTTTATGTTCTTTTACGTGGTTTTTCATAGATCTTTCACAAATAATGTACAATAAAAACCCGCGGAAATGAACATAATATAGTTGACGTGGTGCATTGACTGCAGTCTGTGCACAGCTCAAGATAGTTCCCGCCGATCACCCACTAGGGATGGTGCAAAAAGCTATTGAAATAAAAAACATCCTTATTTTAATATAAAGATGGCTGCATACTATTATACTATTGTCGTCGACAGTCTGCTCAACGCACGACGCATCAACATATGTGAAGAAATGTGTTGACCAGTACTATTTTTTTTTAATTACTGACGTTTGAGGAATTCTCTCAAGCTGAAGGTTTTGTAGCCAATTTCACAATAACTTATTAATGATTATCTCTTAAGAAATAAAAGAAAGTTTAATACACATAGTATATAAAACTTTTAATTTACTTGGAACTAAATTGGAGCTTACAAATAAAACCTCATCAGTCTTATTCCAAAAAAATGTTTTAGTACTGGGTTAAGTTTAGGAGTAAGAAGTCCAGGTTTGTTACAATATTCTAGTTAATACCAGCACTAAAACGTGTGCTTATTACAAAACGCAGACTACCCGAGGACCAGTTAATACCAACGTTAGTATTATATTAAATATCATTCACAGATAAAAAACAAAAAATGACACTCTATCATTCGTTCATACAGGTTTCATTCAATGCAACGTTCGGTTTCATAAAATATTAATATTATTTTCACATTTAATTATGCTTAAATAATTATCCATCAATACAAAAACATATCATACATTGTTATTTGTTTACGTTAAAATCTATTGAACAAGCACGACATATACTTTTGACGCGCTTTTGATTATATCAAGTTGTTTTCAGTTTAACAACTCTAGCGTGAAATGTAGTGAATTACAGAGGTAACGCGAGCGCGGGATTCGAGACGTTCAAAATAGTTTATATTGCAGCCTTATAATAAGTAAATTAAATTATTAATAATTAATTAAGTACTTGCTATTACAATTATATTTATATAATAATGGAACAAAAGAAAAAACGGGGTGAAAATTGGAGTTCTGAAGAAAAAGTTAGTGAAATATCGAAATTTATTTGTCAGTACGTAGCAATACTCTTATCCTCCTATTATCCTTATTTCAACTAAAAGGAATGTTCTTATTATTATAGGAAATATTACGTACACTTATTTCACAATCAGCACATATAATAGAGAATAAGTCGACAAAAACATCGGTAAATATTCAAAAAATAAAAGAGTGGAAGAATATAACTAATAAGTAAGTACTTATCGCATTTGTTATGTGTACAAATAGGTACGGTATTGTTTACGTGATTTCGTATTATTTTTTTTAGATTTAATGAGCTAACAGGTAAACGCCGATCAGATGGTGAATTGAAATTATCTTGGAAAAGAATGAAGTTGTGTGCTAAATCAAACTTATACACATATAGGAGGGAACAATCAAAGACCGGGGGTGGCGGAAAACCTCCATCACCTTCTCTTGAGGACTTGGAAATAATGTCCATTGCCCCTCACGACTTTATCGTTGAAGTTAATAATTATGATAGTGATGCAGTGGTAAATAAAATTACTTACATGTCTTACAAATTTAATTAAAATTAAAGAACTTTATTTTCCATTACTTTAGTACCTAGGTAGTGCTCTGAAATCTACTCTTAAAGCATACAATTTACAATCCAAAATTATTTTCCGAATATTCAAAATTTAATATACTTAGTAACAATTTAACATAAATTCCTTTATAATTAATTATATTCAAAATTGAAATGTCACAAATTCATATATAGTGGTCTATATAATATCATAACACACATTTTACTAGATTATCTACACAGTCCGATTATAATTTTCTATTAGGTATTATAATTAATAATTTATTAAATTACCTTTTGTCTTGGATCATAATAATATTTCTACAACATAGAAAATACCTGATTCAATAAAGGGCAAAATAGAGATGACAGGTGACAGGAAAACATGTTAATAAATGTTTTAATGATTTATTTTAGGATCCAGTGACTGTGGCTACAACATCAAAAGAAGTTGCTGACCCTAAGCCTCGCCTTAATTTTGAAAAAACAGACACAGCTATAGTTAAAAATGTAGAAAATCCAGAACCCAATGTTGTATATGTGCAAGGTAAATAATACTGATTGAATATTTATTAAAAAGCAAAATATATTATTATTATAGTTACAATCATATGCATACAAGTTTGTAAATATTATAAATGTTAATTTTCTAAAACTGTTATATTTATATTAATTTTTAGAGATAGATCCAACTACAAATACAGAAGAAAGTGCCAAAATGGTGAAAATAACCAACAATAAAGATATTATTACTAGGGGTATAACAAAAATTAAAAACAGGAAAAATAGCTTGCAAAATAGGTATGTTGAAAAAATTACATAGTCTGATACATTACATACTTTTTAAAATGTGAAAATTAGTATTTAAACACTGAAAATTGTTTCATGTTTTCAAATATTAAAAGCAAAGTTTAATATGAATTGATTTAAAAATAATTAAAAAATATTTCTTTAATTGGTGTACAAGGTTAAGTGCACTTTTATTACTCTAGAATACTTTGTAAATTTCTAAAATAACTACAAAACTTACATTAAGTATTCCATTTCATTTTACAGAAGAGAAGATGTACACCAAACAATTGTAAAAAGTAACACAGATTTTAAAAAAAGACAACTGGAAATGATGGAAGAGGAACATAAATACAATATTAAAATAGCTAACCTAAAAATTAGAAAATTAGAGTTACAAATATTTTTATTAGAAAGTCAGAAAAACACAAGTTAAATAGCAGCTTAATGCTGCTGTGTTTATTATGGTGAGTTTATAGAATGAAAATAGAATAGAATGATTTTTATTAAATATAGATTATTACAGAATACTTATTGAAAGACATTTTTTATTTACCACTGGTTCGGAAAATACCTCAGTCCTGGGAAGAACTAGTAAGAAACCCAGCGGGACTTTTTTATAAACATATTTCTCTTAACAATAATTTTATTTGTACAATTTTTAAATGAATTTTAATAGAACCACCATGGTGGCGATCACCTCAATTCCAGTATTTCCAATATTCTCATTTATGTATTCTTTGATATTATAATAACCTTTTTATAAAATTTTTCTTTAATAAAACATTTAAACTTGTTTATTGACAAATTTTGGATAAATTTTTGTACAAATTTTGTATGAGAGAGACCTCTTTTACAGGAAACGAGGCATTCCATCTTACTCCACACGGGTGACAACGCATCTGCATTTTGATTTGTAGTCGAGGATAGATGTGGACGTCTATGCACCACAGCAGTTACTTAACATCAGATGGACTGTGTGTGTGTATGTGTGTGTGGTAGACTGTGTTTTATCACCATTATCCTATAAAAAAACTAAATATTTGAGACTATATCAGATACATGTTTGTAAATATCCTCATATATGAAACAATTATTTTCAGGTACTAAATTGCTGCAAATATTTGTACATCTTTTATTAATAATTAAAATAAATAATTATAATTAATATGCATTTTATTTACATAACAGTGAAATATAATATACAATAGTAAAAAACTATAATAAAAAAAACTAAACCTAATTACTTAGTCATCATACAGTCCTACTCCCCGTGGACCCGTGCACCTCTGGAAAGGAAATCCGGCTGTGAATGTAGAGGAGGGACGATATTTATTAAAAAATCTAAACATATCTCTAAAGCACTTAAATCTTTATATAATATAGCTTCATATTGATGTGGAATGTGCTGTACCCCGCATCTTTCCCTGAAACACAATCATTTATAGCCTAAATAAAAGCATTTTGCTCAATAAATGAAATATTATCACAATACTACCCTGAATTTATTTCATATTGGTGAATATGTAGTCGTTATTCTTTGACAGCTGACAACGGCTCTGCAGAAATATTTTCCTTTATAAATGGGTATTATCTCTGAAATCAAAAAGAAATATTATTATAATTGTCTTATACATTTATTGATCCTTAATGTAATTTTATAGCCAAAATTGGCCTCTGAATAACAAAATAAAATAAATTATATATACATAGCTTTAGACAATTGAAAAAAAATTGACAATTTTATAAATATAATTATTAATTTTAATTATAAATAGCTATATAAATATGTAAAAAAAAAATGTTTACCTACTGAAAATGAGTTTCAATAAACTGTCTTCTTCTAATATTTCCCCTTATTGATGGTGCAATATATCTTTGTACTATAGGTTCAGATGAATATTGTTCAATGCTATCTCTCTCACCAGGAAACACATCTTCTCTCATGTCGATGGCCATATTGTGTAGTACAGCACATGCAACAATTGTTTTTTTTGCTGTTTCAATATCTCCAAACATACCTCTTAATAGGCAACGAAACCGTTGCTTCCACAAACCAAAACATCTTTCCACTGTGTTCCTGGTACAGATATGGCTCCTATTATATCTTTCTTCTTGTGGTGTTGTGGGGTTCAGCAGCGGTGTAAATAGGTAAGGGGTACAAGCATAGCCACTGTCACCAAGTAATATTCCAGAGAATGCACCAGCCTCAAACCTCTGTTTTAGTCTACATTCTCGGAATATTCTGGAGTCATGTACACTACCACGCCACCTGGTAACAATGTCCATGATTTTCAGGTCAGCGTCACAAACCACCTGTAAAATAAGAGCTCATTAGTACTTTATGTTTTTCTGGTTTATTTTAATATATATTTATTACCATAAGATAGTCAAACAAATTATTTTCTATTATGATAAAGTAAAGTTATTAAGAGACAATCACAGCTATTTAAAATATTTGTATATTACCTGTACATTAATTGAAGAAAATCCTTTTCTATTAATATATAACTGACCCCCATCAGCATTCACTTTCTTTACTCGTATGTGAGTACAGTCAATTGCGCCAATTACTGTAGGAAAATTAGCAATACTGCGAAATTTCCTAATGGTTTCCTGCTGTTCATTTAAAGTAGTAGGCATTTTAATAAATTCTCAGGGCTTCCGTGACAAAATTTCCGCTACTTTTTTACATGTCCTACTTACTACTGGTTGAGACACACCATGTAAATCAGCTGTATCGTCTTGAATCTACGAATAAAACAATAATATGTATTATTTGGCTTTTTATCTAGCGTAATGTTAGGTACATTGACCCCACCAAGATTATAAACAGCACTTACTTCATGGCGAGCCCAGTTGCGTAATGCACAAACCACTTGAATTTCAGGACTCAATGGGCATCCTCGAGGGTCGTGCACTAAATCCTCACGTAAGATACCCACTATTTTTTCTCCGAAACGTTTTGAGAACCTATACTTATACCTAAAATCTTCGTCACTCAATTCATACGGATTCACACGATGTCGATGTCTATCAGGTCGCCGAGTGGTGTCTAGCATGTCCAAATCTTCTAAATCCATCAAGTCAATCATGTTAATATCCATTTTTAACGATTTTAATAACACCAAATGAAAACAACGCTCACCTCAAATTAAGAAGTACCGAAATTGAGGTTAGTATAGAGTACCACAAACTATATAGAAAGGTTAGTACCATAGCTAAACTAGGGGTCTCGAAAGATTAACTTTAATACCATAGATAATCCTTGAACCAGAGATAATCTTCGTTTTGTAATAACGTTTTTCTTAGTTTATGGTTTAAATATATTACTAACTCCAGTACTATATTAAGTCCGTGTTTTGGAATAAGGCGGCATATGTTTATAAAATTTGACAGACGAAATAAATAAAAGACAAATTGACCAAAGAGCAAAGCTCCGAATCAGAGGAGAGATTAGAATTATTACATTGATATGAATGACTTTGTACCGCATATGTCTTTCTAACTGAATATTTAACTAGAAATTTGTTTCATTTTGTGGTTTTAGGGAAGATGGTGGTCATGACATAAGAATATACGAGTACAACGAAGCGTGAATGCAGGACGCAATGAAATTTTAAAACATCCCTGTTTTATTCCGTTTCATAAACATTACCTTGAGGTACACGAGAAAGAGGAATCGTGTAGTGGCAGTGTAAGAATATCCTCTACCCCATATCATTCTGTGGGTGTCATTAAAAGCGACAGAGAGAAACAAATCAGGAGGTGGACAGCGGTGTCTTGCTAATAACGACTAAAAATAGAAAACTGCGGTTGCCTCTCTGCTTGCCAAATTTAGCAACTATGGAAAATATCCTTCCCTATGAGGCAATCTATAGGGCAGGCCTACATTCGACAGTGGACTTTAATAAGCTGTACGTATCGTTCGAGGAGTTTTACTTACATCATTTGCACGCAAATAATCATCTAGACCAGATTTTCTCCCTCGCACAACTTCCTTATGGAATCGATTACCACCAGCCATTTTTCCGGACCGATACGACTTAGGGACCTTCAAGAAAAGAGCCTACTCGTTTTTAAAAGGCCGGCAACGCATCTGTGATTCCCCTGGTGTTGCAGTTGTTCATGGGCGGCGGTAGTCACTTACCATCAGGTGAGCCGCATGCTCGTTTGCCCCCTCTCCTATAACAAAAATACTTCTAAAATTAGAGG